AGCCACAGTAATGAATTGCTATTGCATAGATTGCATGAAAGGCTCTTTGTTGTAATTATGAATATATTACTACCTTTTCTTCTGGCAATTTCCATGTGTGTGTTCATTTTCAAAGGCCAGTTTCTAATGAGGCCCGTTCCTACTTATCCAGGATTCTGTACAAAACAGGCAGGATCAATGTCACATAAGATAAAATGTCAGGTACAGTAAGACGAGTGGGAGTGTCGCTGCAGGAGAGCTGGCTGTCTGTATTCCATCCTGCAATATGACGGACACAGGTTTTAAATGACTGTTTCTCAGGAGTTGATTTCCCTGTGTCAGGTGAGTTCTCCGGATGACCAAATTTTCTGGAGATGTTCATGACATTATGATATATCTTAAGTAAATTGATCAATTTTGAGATATAGATTTTTTTTATTGAATTTTTAATATTTTAATCAGTTATTACATAGTAATTATTCATATGGGGATAGCATTTTATTTGTTCAATATATAGAGTTGGACAATAGCTTTAAAACAATATAAGGACCACTTCTGTGTAGCTTACATTAAGGTAGATATAACCAGTCAAAGTCATAGCGCCACCCCCCCTTTGTTCACTTAAATCTCCCTCAATATAGATCCCAGACACACCCAATTTCAGTTTCATGAGCTACTCATGTGACCAAATCAGCATGCCAAGTTTCGTTAAAATCCGTGACGATGAGGTCCGAAAGTATAATGATTTGTCATGGAATGACCCATGTATTACCCTGGTGTGTCTGGTCCTGCAAAGGCTGAAGCTTCACATTACTACAAGTTAATACAAGTAACAAGGTATTACTAGAGGTCTGATTACCTAACGTAATGCAGGCAAACTTATTGTTTGTGAAGTTTGTTTAATGTATTAGGTATCTGCAGAGAATGTATGTTGACAATTTTTTTGTTTCTCAAAATTAGAGTTTTTTTTGCTGTTTTTGAGTGCTGCTGCATATATTAGCTATTTCTTTTATCCAAAGCAACTTACAGTAGAGGGAAGGGTTGCAATTTAAGTGCGGCTTGTGGGATCTGAACCCACAACCTTTATCTCTTTGTATAGTGTTCTACTTTTTTGAGTTACAGAAGCTCTAGAGTTCAGTGTGGAGTAAAGGAGTAAACTGTCAGACTTCATTCCACAGTGTGTGTAATTCCTTTGTACAATTAGGAGGGCCATTCTTCCTGTGTGTATTTCCTGTTTGCATGTAAGTTTTTTTTCAGTCTACATTTGAAAACCAGCACAAGCTGAGATTGTGACCTCACTCAGACTCCACAGAAATGATGCTTTTTTCAAATCTTGGCTGCTGAGCTGATTTTGGTGTCCAGTCAAAACAGGCAGGATAAATGCCTGTATCGTTCCGCTGACTGGCTGAACACAGACTGCTTTAGTCCTGCGGGGTATGACTGGTTGGCTTATAGCTTGTCATGTGATTGTGTGAGTTTGAGTGTATAAACCTTAAGTGTGGTTTGTGTAAATTTGCACAGTAGCTTGGTATACAAGTATGTATGTATGTGTATGTGTGTGTGTATAAACATTTCAGAATGGAAACTCAATTGGATATAGTGGTGCGAGCAGCAGATGCTCTACACCTGGAAGTTTGTGATGACGTCCCAGGATGGATTGGCTCCACTCATTACATTTGCTTAAAGAGTGGAAAAAGGCTTTTCCCCCGTCTTGGTCACCATACTCCAGTGATCTCATCCTGTGGATCATCCTAAAGTTTATGTCCCTTTTTATATTGGTACAAATTGAAGAAATTTCCTGTGTGAGGAAGGTGCCAGACTTTTCGTTTTGTTTGGTGCCGTCTCTGCCACATTCACTCTGTCCTGGTCTGGCTTCAGGCAAACACTTTCCATCATATAAATTTATTTTTCTGAAATCTTCAGATGACAAACTGTTCCCACTTTTTCTGCCGCCTGGTTTTGTCCATTACGGTCTGACCCCGTCGCGTTAAACGTGCATCGGTAACCAAAACAGGATCCACCTGTGTGCAAACACTTTTTGCTGTGTGTGGCCTGCTGGTGTATTTTCAGGCAGTGTGATTGTGTCTGCACCCTGCTGTCCCAATCTCGGTTATTCCTTGGTTTCTGGGTTAGGTCCGGGACCCCCGCCACCCTGTGCAGGACAGGTGGGACAGAAGGTGGAAGAATGAACATTCCAGTTTAAGAGGATATCCAGATATAGAATTGGGGGAGGGGGGACAACCAATAGGATATTACACCTTAGTTCCAAATCCTTAAAATGTTCTTCATTTGAGCCCCCGCTCAGCTCTTCCGCACGTCCTGATTTTGCCGAGTTCGACGTGTCCCTGGGTCAACAAGGGAGGGCCTTGCATTTCGCATCTTTAACCAATCGCATTCGTCATTGTATGACAACACCACATTAATTAGCTGCCCCCTGCTATGTCACAATGTCACATATATGGGTTAAATGCAGAGGACACATTTCATTGTTGTGCACTGTGTGCTGTAGTGTGTCAACAATGACCACTGATCATCGAATTCCAAATTGAAGCCTTTTCTGCAAGGTGCTGTCATGCCCTACTCGTCCGATCCTCCCGTGTGCCACGCCTCCTCACCACCTGGTGTGGAATCCCCACGTTTACCAGCTGTTTCTTCTTGTTGTTGATTAGTCCAATGTATTTAAGTGTACTTTAGGTATGTTTTCCCCAGTCTGATCATTAATGTTGTAATGTCTGCCGTCTTATGTTCCTGAGTGTGCTTTCCTTCAATAAATCCCTCGTTCCCCAATTCCTCGACTCCCTGCTCCTGCTTCCGTGGTCTAAGCCAAGACAGGTGCACCAATTTGTAAAATTCCCATTTTATCGCATATGTGTTTTGTCAAGAGACATGTCATAGATACAAAAAATAGAAATATGCTCACCTGCAAAGGCTGTACCGAGTAATGTATGGTTGTGTCTTTATTTCATGATGATGATGATGATGATGATGATGATGATGATGATGATGATGATGATGATATCAAGTGGCAACTTTGCTATCACAGGCACAGAGGCTCAGCCCGCTGAGTCACTCACAGGCCCCCGGCTTGACGGCTGGAAGCCTCGAGTCTGAAATTGAGAAAAAACAGACCAATGTGGTGATGTCATACAATAAAAACTGTGATTGGTTGAAGAAGTGAAATGCAAGCCCATCCCTTGTTGACTAGGGGGCAAGTCGAACTCGGCAAAATCAGGTCTTCCAGGTAGGGCCTACCACCCAGACAGGCAGAGCCATTTTCATAAAGATACAGAAAAATATCACTTGATATCACTTTCTTAAGACTAGGACCAAGGAACATCCCACATCCTGCTTTGTGAACTTACTGGGTAGATTTCAGTACTGGCTCACTGGACCAAGTTTTTTTCCGTTATTGTAGCCAATTTTTTTTAAAGTGGTTATGGGCACGCTGCCACTTATTGGCTGCCAGGTCTTCCAGTTAGAACCTTCTCCATTATCTGAAAGTTTACTGGTAGGATGGGGCCGAAAGAGCCTCGATGGCAACGGCACCGGTGCAGATGTGTGGGGCCTGCACAGCATCTCCTCGTCCTCGCTCTCCGGCACGGAACGTCCCACAGATGTCCCGTGTGCTACTTTCCCGGGTGCCACTGGCTCCCTCCTCCTAGGGGACGACCAACTTGGAACGGATGGTGTTTATTTTTGCAGTGGGAGGATTGCGCAGTGTATTTATCTTTGTGTTTGAGGAGGGTTTTATCGTTCCGGAGGGGCTTTTCTCTGCCCTCTGTGATGTATGCTTTTAGAATTCCTCAGTTTTGCTTTTTTGAGTTTGCATACATCAAACTGTTTCTAGATAAGTCACCACCTCCCTTGCGCGTGTCGCCGGTGAGCTGCTGGTCTCCGTGTTTTCCATACTGATTTTTCATGTCCCTTTTCAGCATACTACATTTGTTGCTGTTTTGGTTCTGGTTGTAATATGTGCATTTAACTATAAAAGCTTTTGGCGATTGGGTCATAACTAACAATTAGTGTGGTTCAATCTGCCCAGTTGCTCTTTGCGCATTTTATACATATCGAGGTGCCTGTGTGTATTTTTCTTCCAAACTTTTTCGGTACTACGGTGTCGGCGTTGCCCACTTACCGATTGGTTATCCTTTCAGAAAGTCAGAAAACTAGTTAAAAAAACAAAATGCAACTCTGTAGTAAAATATACAGATGTTGTCTAAATGTACAATTGTAAATTCCAAATAACTTGTCATCTCTTCTGTATGTTGCATGGGCACTGAGATGAAATTTCGTTCCTCACTGGTGAAAAAAGTAACAGAATTTAATTATATGACATAAATATGAAACTTTAATAAATATGATAGTAAATATTCTGATGTGAAAGTATATAAACACCTGATTAGGTGGGAATGATTGTGCAAATGGGCAATGGAATGTTGTTGTAACTGTTATTAGAAAGCAGTCATAATCCAAAGGTAGGTATCATATCTGCAAATATGAAGCACTATGTTCAGTATGATTTTGGGGGAGGGGTTTGAATCCTGCCTCCACTCTCTCCGTTTGAACTTCTCCCACCATCCAGAGATTATCTAACTGGCATTTCTAAATGAGCCGAACTGAACTGGCATCCCATCCACGGTGTACCCCTGCCATGAGCCCAGTGCAGTCTGGGAAAGGCTCTAGCTGCCCCTGTGACCCCATCCAGGATAAGTGGCTGAGTTACATGATTTGGCCAGAAAACATCATATTTTTTAAAGAAATGGGCAACTAAAATAGGGCAAATTTTTTTATTGGAATTATATAAATATTGAAGTTCTATTTTAAAATACATGTTCAGACACACCCATACAGGAAGGATGGTTTTGAATTCAAAGCTGTATAATTTTTAAAATAATTTTTGAAATGATTCAATAAATGTAATTTTCTCGGCTGATAAAATCATAATTAGTGTTATGCTCTTAAATTTTGTCTAATTTTACTGCACAGAAGCCATTTGCCCTTACAAAATTGGACACACGAGGTATTGTTTCATCATTTTATTGTATAGTCATTTGATTTCCAAGTTATTTACAAGTTTACAAGAAAAATCAGATCACATAGTATTACAAAGTATTCATAACTTATGACGTATACCAACACACTATAAAGTTCCGTTTCGTGTAGAGTATATACAGTTTTGGAAATTTGTCTTTCACTGTAATACATATTTGAGGAATTTAAGTGGTTTGACGCAGGAATTTAAATATGAGTCGCGACACGTTAATTTTGGCGAAATGATTTATGGTTTAAGACTCGTTGTCAACAGCCTTAAGCTCATAACCTATTTTAATCTTCTACATATTCGATGAGAACAAAAAAACCCAGCTTCTCCACTATGTGGGCCTACGTTGTGGCCGCTTTATGCAGATCTGTGCACGGAAAAGATGCTTCGGTAGCTGAACACATTGAGACGAGGTGAGGTACACGCTATCGCGACGAAATACTTATTCTTACGTCTCACACGCAAAGCCAATTACAGATAAACTTCTTCGTGTACTATGACGTATCTGATTTATCCAGAAGAACGGGTGGTTCGTAAAGTATATTCATGTCAAAAAGCCCACCTGCTTAATAACGTACTATTGTTATTGCAAGATTGTTAATAGGAATAAACCAGTAAAGCACAGAACCACGTACACAAAGTAAGCCAAGCAGTAAGTAAATACGACTAATAACAATAGCAGTTACGTATTGCATTTTGTTCCATGATCGGTAGGCCTACTGGAAATGTTTAAACGTTGTATAAGGATTAAGCATAGTAGTTTGCACAATCGTATACATTCTTACACCCTTACAATTAAAAGTGCATTACTAGGTCTGTTGAGAGTTTAGTGCAATAATTTACTGCAACACATTAGGAAAATTCGGCTAGAGGAATGTCGGATGTTAGATTTACGGCCAATTGAATTATGATATAATTATTTTGTTCTAAGTGAATAAGACATTTTAAATGATTTCATTAAAACAAGCTGTCAGTTACTAATTCATGTCAGTTTGACCTAAATCAAATGCTAAACGCGTTAATTAATGCTGTCGGTCAATACTGCAAAGAACATTCGTGAGTGGAGCAGTAGCCCTACTCATTTAATTTCAATTTCAAAGGCAGTGTTTATGTGTATAGGTCTGAAGTATGTTTCTATATGGCACCTTGTATGTTGGTGAAAGACTGTTATATATTAAGTATAGGCCTATATTAAAATTGCACCCTTGGAACATGATAAAAACACATCATATTCTCAATACATTCGTAAATGTGTTTTCGACCTCATGTCGATTCGATTAGTATACATTTGAAATAAATAAACACGGATGGTCAGTCACCTATGAAGCCAGCGGGACTGACCTACTCGATCTGGGTATAACGTCGAAGTCTTTGCAGGTGGCCGAACTGCACGTCGGGCTTCTGTTGGGGATCTTGGTCAGGATCGTAGTTCTCCTGATGCTGCTGTCCGAATCCTCTTTTTTGTAATTGTGTTGTGATTTGCTGGAGCACGGAAAACAGTGCGCGAAGTCCTGCAAGAGGTGGCCGCTGAAGATCATGTAAATCCAGGGGTTGCAGCAGCTGTTGAGACTGGCGAGCAGCGCCGATAACGTGACCGCGGTGTTCTCGGAGTCTGCAAGCGTACACAAGGAGAAAACACAGCCTAAGTGGGATATACTAATGCATCAGTACGCTATTGCAAATTATTCTAACATAGGCTATGCATATGTACATTTATATGGCTTATTTATACGTGTGGAACATCATTTAATTATTTTGCTGAAACGCATTTGCGGAATGATGCAGAGCGGGGCAGTTGAGATTTAATCTTGCATCTTTAGGATACACCACGTCTGAAACCGATATCATCGGACTTGTTGAACTTGCAAGTGGCTCTTATTTTAATTTACCCCAATTAAGAACTAACGTAAATGCTACGCTATTAAATTTAATAGTGCATACGAAGTACTTCATCTCTCTACAGAGAAGTGTTATATAGGCTACTTTTTGTATTGCTTATTATTTTACTTTACAGTTGTCTTCCCCCCAAATGCCTGTAGTTGTAATATTTAAGCTATTCAATCATTAATAAATCATTATAATAAACGAAGTATGATCGAAGACCTTAAGCGCATCTCGTTGTTTTCCGTCAGAAACGTGGCTCTCTGGTAGTTCTGATACGTACCGTCCCATAAAAAATTCACATCCCAAACCGACCACATCTGGACGATGAAAAAAGGAGCCCAGCAGACCACGTAAGCTAGAACGATGACAAAAGTCATCTTCACTGTCCTCAGCTTGGCCCTGGATATAGTGGTGACGCTGCTGACGGAAGACCTCCCGATAACGTCTTTGGAGCATGTCTCCAGTCTTTTCTTTTTAGTTTTGTATTTGATGTTCTTCCAAATGCTGTGGCAGATGAACCCATAACAGATCACCAGGATGGATACCGGTATGAGAAAGATGCCTATTGTAATCCATGTAATATACGCCTTGACACCCCAGGGTTCAATGAAGTGACCCCAGCAATCGTACACTTCAGAACCGTTTTTGATCTCGCTTAAAGAGAATATGAAGTATTGCGGAGTGCTGAGGACAAGACTGCATATCCACGTGCTGACGATCATGATGTTGGACCTTCGGGTGGGCTGCTGGAGGGTCTTAAGAGGGTGACATATCGCGATGTAGCGGTCCAGGGTCATCATGACCATCATGTAAGTGGAGGCGAACATACCGAGAACCTGCAGGTGTTTGACGATCCTGCACAGGAAGTCTGGTCCATAAAACCGAAAGGTGATCTCCCAACAGAGCTGGGGTAAGACCTGGAAAAAGGCAACCACCAAATCGGCCAGACTTAGGTGTTTGATAAAGAGGTGCATCCTTGACATCTTCTTCTTTGTGTTGTACATGGCTAACAAGACGCTTACATTCCCTATAACTGTGACCACGAAAGTGACTGACAGCACCGTAATCTCTATTTTGGCCACTTCCTCGTTTCTCCCAAACGGGTCACTCTCGTTTCCCGGGGTGCTGCCGTTGCCGGGGTTTCCCATGACTGGGCTTGGCGTCGCTCCGAGACTCAGAGTCCGGTTTTGATCCATGAAGTTCAGCGTGGAGCCTGAGTGGTCGGCATGGAACATGGCAGAGTCTCTCTGGGGGCGCCGTGTCCGCGGTGGCAGCGTGGAGCCGCTCCTTTCACAAGCTGCGCTGCGCGCAAACCCACCGCACGGAGCAGCGGCTGCATTGTGAGCCTGCAAGGGCTTCAAAAGACGAAATAGCGCCTGACAAGCACTTGCAAAGCGGTAGCCAAGCCCACTCTGTCCACGCCCGCGAATAATGTCGTATTGCATAACTGACTATAGCGCTCCAGACTCCTAAAACTGAGAAAAGAAATTCCTATACCCTTATACATAAGATCTAAACCGATCCTGGAGACTATGTGCCACATCCTTATTAGGCTATACACGTTTACAAAAAAAATTGATATTTACTGTAACTATATAATTTGTGCCACATCTTCATGCCTATACCCTATTATCACATATAGTGGCGACTGTTTTTCTTTATTACACTGTGTTTTGCAATATTTAATAAACTACCAAGTATTTTAAGATATATTATTTGTGCGAGCGAAAGTCGAATTTTTGAAATTATACCGATTTAGCGTGATTCTTTATTTCACCGTATTGCGTATAGCTTTAGTATGTAGGCTACTGTTTATATTAGTCGTACTTATTTATTATTTGAAACTATTTGGTAAACTGCTTTACTCAGAGGTTAACATTGTATTTATATACTTGTTATGAATATATTTTTGCTGTCTGAGAAAACTCGGAGAGAAGGTGATGTTAGGCTATTTGTGATTAACAGACAATCGTAGGCTTACTCTGTCTGTCGGACTGGGAGTCTGTTCTAAGGATGAATAACCGGAACGGAAATAGGCGCATAGATGTCGGCGTCTTAAGTCTGGAGGGGACACAGTGATGCTGCTATGCATAGTAACACATAGGCTACTATACTCCAAACATTTAGATTATTCTTATGCAACAGCATTTTCACTCTAAACAGGAGCACATTGAGGTCTATATTTCTAGCTGGGGCTTGCACTCTTCTAAAATCTAGGTTAAATATTGTGCTCAAGGGTGCTATTCTTGGGGCTACATCTGTCTGTCTACGCCGCGCTTTCCTGCGTTTAAAAGAAGATACTGCTACGCCGCTTTATACACGGCGGATTTCCGGTAATACGCACCGTCTTCACATTAACGGCAGGAGGAGCAGAGCAAAAACGAGCATATCCATAGCTGCCATTATGCAGTGTGTGCGAAAGCGCACCGTGGGAATTTCAGTAAAGAGCCTAACTCAGTCAGGTACGTCCTACAGAGCTATTTCAGAAGGCATCCTTTTCCAACCTCTGTTTTAACTATTTAATGTTACGTATTCAAGGCCCCTGTCATGTGCTGGGCCCCCAGAATCTGCCAGGGCATCCGACGTCCGCGAGGGAAATGCAGAAAGACTTCATTTTTTTGTCCGGTAAAAGCCGTGCGACATGAAAAAAATGAAGTTAGAATCGTTTTACACATGTATTAACCAACCCACGTAAATAGGCTACATTTTGTAAACGCAAATTTCATTATAGATGCAGTTGACGCTGGAACATATGGTTCCAGACGGCAGAATGATTCTGCTTTTAGCGTTAATTGAATGTACAGTGACTCTTTCCTAGTAAATTAATTCGGCGATATTTATAATGGCTTCTTCCAATGCATCAACTCCGTAATTAGGAACAAAATAGGAAAAGAGTGTTTTTTAAATTATGTTTTGAAACCGGTGCTCACTCTGCTCTGCAGATGCTGTGAATTTCCCAGATCTCCCAGTGGCTCTGAGCCAGTGGTTGCTCTGTAACGAAACGTCAGCAAAGATTTACAAATTCCACTAGATTTTTTAGTACTGCAATCATAAAGATATTTTCCCCGTCCAGAATTAACTTCCTTTCTGCCATAAAGAAGGTGTCATGAACAGCGGAGTCTCATCCCCGTGTCGTCGGACATCAGGATTCCAGTGGAAGTTTGTTTTTTGCTGGGATGCTATTAAATCACAGGGCACTTTGGTCTAAGTTACTAAAAAGTTACCGATGCTAGAAAAATGCAATGAATGTATAGATTTATGCATAACACAAATACTTAGTAACAACTCAGTTACTACTGAAATACAAATTATGAACAAATCATAAACAAATATAGTTGGTACTTGAGATAAAAGAGGCGTAACGATTAATTAATGATGAACAAGATCAGTATTTAACTTGCGTTATTCAGGACTTTTTCCTTCAGTAGTTCCTTAGTAGTTGAGAAAGGTTTACAGAATTAAAAGATAGAGTAACTGCTTGGGATGAAATATGTATCATGATCCTTTTATGATGAACATATATGAGATCAGTAATTATCTTGCGTTATTCATGACTTGTTCTTTCAGAAGCTCCTTCAGTCGTTCACAAAGGTTTACAGAATTAACAGAAATAGTAACAAAAAAGTAACTTCTTGAGATAAAACATGCGTCACGATTCATTAATGATGAATTAACATGAGATCAGTATGTAACTGATGCCTTGTCCACACGTACACAGGTATATTTTAAAAGGTACCTTTTTCTATAAGTCTTGGGATTTTGTCCACACGTAAAGGGCGTCTCAGGTCACTGAAAATGGAGCTTTTGCAAAACTCCATCCAGGGTGAAGATTTTAAGAAACTCCGTTTTCAGCGTCGACTTGTAGACAGGGAAAACAGAGTTTTTGGCTCGAAACGTCAGATTGTGTGCCGTTGTCCACTTTGTTTAACGTCAGAGCGCGCGCTGTTTGCTGTATACATTAGGTGAGTTTGAGCAGGGACTGATTATGGGTTGTGTGGGCCCCTGGGCAAAACGTTCGCGAGGGCCCCACCCCCTCCCCACCACCACCACCACCACTACTACCACCACCACAACCACCACAATTCAAGGGCCCTTGGCAGCCAAACGCCCTCCCTCCATGTTTCCATCAGAGGCCCTATAGGTTCAGGGGCCCTTGTAGGCAGAGGATCAAAGAATGTAGGCCCTCTAAAATAGACAAATGAAAATACATTGTTGATAAGCGTTGCAAATTGTTTTGGGCTAGGGGCCCCATGGGCCCCCTGCACCCCAAGGGCCCCTGGGCAGCGGCCCCGCTGGCCCAGTCCGTAATCCGTCCCTGAGTTTGAGCAATGGCGGATTTAGCCAAAATAGTGCTTGTGCTAACCTTGCTGACAGGACTTCTTACATGTGTACAGATAAATGTTGAGTCACTCTCGCATTATATTGATCAACACAGGCGTCGGAATGTGCGCCATGGTTTTCTACTTAACAGGACTGGCAATTAGGCTTCTGATTGGCTAACATGGCAGTACGGTTAGAGTCATAATGCCGCCTGTTGTTTTTTTTGCATGCGGTTTCATGCGGACGGAATTTTTTTAGAAGACAATGTTCGTGTGGACGGGGATTTTTTTTTAAACAGAGGAGGAAAAACACCGTTTTAAAATATGCCCGTGTATGTGTGGACAAGGCATTAGTTTGTGGTAGATAATACATAAGTAATAGTATAATAGGTGTAAGGAAAAGCAGTAAAGATGCCCCAATGTTCTTGGTTGATCATTTGGATACAGACAGT